CATCCGACATTAGCAATGATATCCTTCGTCGCACATCCTCTTCTGAATCTGGCTTGAATTTCTGGCAGTTCCTGGTCGTTGTACAACTCTATTCTATAGGGTCACTATGAGTTGGAATCAATTTGATGGCAAACAACAATTATACATATACATGTATATATACTGCACACCCACGAGCCCCCCAAGAACTGGGACATGACTCTGCCCCCACCCCACGAGTAATCACCACCCTGAATTTTGTGTTTCTCACTCCCTTGCTTATTTATTTTTTAAATTTCATTACATATGTTTGTATGCTGAAACCATATCTGGTTTTGTTATTTTTATGTCTGAACTCTATGGCAAAGGGCTTTGGGGACATGTTTTCATTTTTGCTCAAGATTCTACTATGAAATCCCTCGAGGTTTTTTGCACTTGACTCCATTTTTTTAAGTAAGGAAGGACCGTGTTGAGACGACCAGCCATCCTGTTGTGTGCACCTGGCATTCTGTTTTCACGGTGGTATAGGATCCCCATCACTTTATCCATCCCTCAACTTCCTTAAAGTTTTAGTGGCCGTGGAGTTAACGTGTCGCCTTAAGGAATTACCGATGTTGCCCCTTTCCAACACTGGCCTCTCAGTTCCCCTTCCTTACTGCCCCAGATCTTGGTCATTGCTAGGAGGAAGAAAGGGTCCAGCTGCCCAAGAGGAGTTCCCTCTGCTCAGCTATCTCCTGCCTGGCCAACTGGCAGCTGCTTATAAACCATCTATAAATAGTCCCGCCCCCAACCCTACCCTATGTCACAAGGCCCCCAGCGAGGGGAACCAGTGAGCTCAGCAGCAGTGAGAAAGGGGAAGTAGGTTGTTAGGCATTGGTGTTTGGAGGTGTTCCTCAGCTTCCTTGCAAAGAAATGAAGCCGAGAACACTGAGGTAACAGCTCAACGCCTTTTCTTACCACAGTGTGTTGTGGGTTGAAGAAGGCAGAGGCACAGGGTGCTGGGGCCCCTGGCACATATGTGCACCCTGTTTCTCCTCAGCCAAACCATGGGCCTACCTGCGTTGCTCACAACCTCCTGCTTCTCCTCTGTCGCGCTGGGCCTCTGCGTCCTCACTGTGCACCTCCATTCAAGTATACATACTGCGCCATGACCCGCATCTGGCCTCAGGGGATTGAGAGGCCTGGGCCAGCTGCAGGCCTGGGAGGGCAGGCCAGGGAGGTCCAAGTGCGGTCTGCCCGTGCCCTAGGGCTGAGGCCCCAAATAGCTCAGTTTCTATATTTAGGCTACTTGCTCAGTGCCAGCGAACTATAAATATGGCCCAGCTCAGCGCCCGCCTCCAACTTCCTAAGCCAGGCTGGGATGGGTGGGGGCTTGGGGATCAGAGAATGCCAGCGGGAGCTGGGCAGAATCTGCAACAGGGCCCCTGGGGGTGGACTCTGGAGGTCCCAGGCTAGGGAGAACCCCGGTGTTCAGCCTGCAGGAGGAGACAAAGGGCCCGTTGTGAGGCCTGCCCCAGGTCGGAGGTCAGGGCTGGCCAGCAACCTTCCGCCCTCTTCCCTTGCTCTATGGTGTTTCCTGGCACGGGGACAGCTGTCATGGGGACAGCTGTCTGTCCTCACAATAGCCGTGTCGCCCTCCTGGAGCCGGCAGCGGGCTCATCCGCGTGGGGGCTGGACCAGTCCCTTCCTCTGCCATTGTCTTCTAGCTGGGGGGCTTCCTGTTACACGTCTCCATCTGGAGACCCCAGTTGACCCTCCCCCCAGCCCAAGCATGAGCTGGTGACACAAGAAGCTAGAGCAGGACATTGGGGTCCCCTCTCCACCTCCCCAGAGAGGCAGCAGGGAGAAGGTTCCAGCCCTGGAGCCATCCTAACAGCTGTTGTTTATAGAGCTTCCACCCCGAGCCACACCCATACAATACATTCACTGCTTATGATGCTCAGGGGAGCCCTCTCAGGTCTGACCATTTCACAGATGAACACACTGAGGCTCAGAGAGGCCACATCACCCTCACAAGGCTATACAGCCCAAAAAGAGAGGAGGTGGGCTTACCCAGGCTCTCTCACATAGGATGGGGTGCTCTGTGACCCTGAGCCTCCTTGTCCCCATCTGCCAAATGGAAACTATAGCACCTGCTTCCTAGGGCTGTTGGGATGATTAGTAGTTCCATCCCTGCAAAGTGCTTAGAAGAGGGCCAGGCACAGAGTGGGTACAATGTGAACACTGCCACCCACAATTGCCATTTCTTATTGTTGCAGCTATAACGATAGTAATGATTCTGACATCATATTGTTTTATATGTATGCCAATTTATTCTGGTATTATATTATATATAATAATTTACCATACAGTATATAATACTATATATTATGTATAATATAATACTATACAGTAATATAGTACTATAATATAACTGTATATTATAATATACTACTATATATTATATATAATAATTTATCATATATCATATAATATAATCCTATATATTATATAAGGAGCCCTGGTGGTTAAGTTTAAGAGTTTGACTGCTAACCAAAAGGTCGGCAGTTCAAATCTACCAGCTGCTTCTTGTTCTATAGGGTCCTATAGGGTCGCTATGAGTCGGAATCCACTGGACAGCAATGGGTTTGGTTTTTCTGGTGGTTAAATGGTTAAAATGCTCAGCTGCTAACCCAAAGGTCGGTAGTTCAAACCCGACAGAGGCTCCATGAGAGAAAAGACCTAGTGATTTACTCCTGTAAAGATTTCAGCCTAGGAAACCCTATAGAAGAGTTCTACTCTGTCCTATAGGGTCGCTATGAGTCAGAATCGACTCGATGGCACACAACAATATATTGTATAAAAATATTTATTAATGATTTTGTTGTTGTGATGATTATTATTATTGTTTGAATAATCCTGGCTCAGCCATTTCCTAGCTGAGCAATCTCAGGCAAATGGGCCAGCCTCTCTGGTCGCCACTTTGCCATGTGACCATGGGGGGCTTGAGTCCCTGCTTCACACCATTGTTGAGCAGAGGACATCAGGCTGTCAAGGGGCTGCCACATAGGTCGGGGAGCCTGGAGCTTCAGGGGAGAGGGAAGGAGGAGGAACAAAAGTCGGGACCCCACCAGGGGCCAGGACAAGGAGCCTGAAGGAGGCCAGGTGCCATCGAAGGTTTGTAGGGGAAAGGGTAGTGGGACAGCTTCATTAGTTTCTCCGACTGCAGTCAGGAGGATGGGGGCAGGGAGGGGGCAAGAGTGGTGGGGAGGAATTGAGGAGCAGCAGTGAGGTGAGGGAGAGTGGGGGTGGGGTAGAGGGTGGCATTACTAATTCAGGTAATTACCATTTACAGAGCCCTACTGGGTGCAGACTCTGTACTCGGGACTCTGCGGGAATAGCAATGAACAATCGGAGCTGACGGTTGTGAGGGGTCAGAAAATAAACAAGTAGGCAAGTTCTATGAAGGGTGAGAAGTGCTGCAGAGAATACCTGAAGCAGAGAGAGATGGATGAGGGTGGGAGGGGTTTACGTTTTATACACAGGGAGGAATGTGTCAGAGGAACAGTATGTGCAAAGGAACGGTATGTGCAAAGGCCCTGGAGTGGGACCTTAACTGGTGTTTTCTACCAGGAAAACTGAGTCAGAATGAGGGAGGAGAGAGTGGGAGGAGGTGAGGATACGGAGGGGATAGACAGAGCACGCAGGGCCTTCTGCGCTGCTGGGAGGACTTAGGCTTTTACTCTGAGGAAGGTGGGAGCCATGGAAGGTTCTGAGCAGACTGGGGAGGGATCCAACCTGACTCAGGTGCTCACAGGCTCCCTCTGGCCGCTGCAGGGAGGACAGACTGTGGGGGGCGAGGGCAGAACTGGGGGGCCAGGGCAGAGGAGACTGCACTGGTCCAGAGGGGCTATGACAGAGCTGGGACCAAGGTGGGGCTGAGAAGGAGGAGGAGTAGGCTGGACTCTGAGTATACTTTGAAAGCAGAGCAGCAGGATTTGCTGTCAGGCAGATTGCGGTGGTGGGGTGGGGTATGGGGGGTGTGTTCCTCTTCCTGCCTTCCCTGAGACTGCAGCAAACACCTTGAAGCCTTTCCCCTGACCTTACCAGTTTGTCCTCACCCTGCTCTGGGAGGCCAGAGGGCAGGCCTTTTAATCTCCATTCAGCAAACAGAGAAACTGAGTCCCAGGGAGGCTAGACCCACTTCAAGGGCCCAAGACACATCCCAGAAGAAGGCAAGAGGATTGTTGGGGCCCGCCCCCCCAAGATCGAGGGGTGTGGGTACAGCTCTCTGGTCAGTGCGTCCCTCCTCTCCTAGCCTCAGATCCCTACCCCCAGCTTTTCAGAAGCACCAGTGTCTGACCTGCCTGTCTGTGGGGAGCGGGCATGGAGCCCTGAGGTTTCTGTGAAAAAAGTAAAAAATCTGCCTCCTTCCTAGTCTCCTCCCATATCCACTCTGCTTCCTGGGGGCCCCTCAGGCCCCCTACCTCTGCTCTCCCTGGTTTCCCTAAAGGCCTAGGCAGGAGCCAGTTCAAAGGGCAAGAAAGGGTTAATTCTGAGTGTGTTGTGGGGAGTGCTTCTCCTTGGTGGGTTTTCCCAGGGCCACACTCCTCCCTCTTTGAACATTGTTGTTAGGTGCCTTCATTCTGACCCGTAGCAACCCAATGTGACGAGTAGAACTGTCCCATAGGGTTTCTTAGGCTATAATCTTTAAAGAAGAATATCACGAGGTCTTTCTCTGTTGGAGCTGCTGGGTTAGTCTGAAGCACCAGCCTTTTGGTTAGCAGCCGAGCGCTTAAACATAGCGCCACCAGGGCTCTTTTCTTGAACGATTACTTACTAAATATGTTCTTTAACATTCATCATGTCTACGCCTTGAATCCATTCATTTCAATAGGAAACTTTATATCAGCATTATGAGTGTATGTGTGTGTGTGTGGGGGGGGGGGGGGGTGTTGTGTTGTTACTGCACTTTCCTGTCAGCTTCCAGCTGCCCCACCAGTTCCGGGGAGGGCCCTGGCCCATCCCCGCTTTCATAAAGACTCAGCCCGGCAGGCAGCCACACAGCTGCCCAGCCTCTGGGACACAGGCCAGCCCTGCCCCAGCCACTTCCCAGTGGACCATGGGAGGCCCACACTGCGCTGTCCTTCTGGGTGAGAACTCCGGGCCCCTCGGGGAGGGGTGTGGGACCGGCCGGACCCCTTTGGCTGAGGAAGAACGACAGGCACCCTGGCGGTTCTGGGCCTGCAGAGGAAGCAGCATGCTCAGGACGACCCACGGGGACATGGGGAGCGGTGCTGGCAGGGCTGGCCTGTGTCCCGCAGGCTGGGCAGGAACCCTGGGGTGCTCACAAGAGCCCTCTCCCCTTCTTAGAAGGGTCTTAGAGCTCTCACTGGGGCCAGGTTGGAGACTAAGAGGGGAAACTGAGGCAAAGGGGAAGGAAAGGGGGCAAAAATGAGTGCTGGGACTCCGCAGGCAGAAGCTTTTAATATAGGGGTGTGCTGAGAAGCTGCAGCTGGGACCCCCTCCACTATGAGGTACCCCGTCAGTCCCCCAATGCCTCAGTAACAGGGCAGCCCCGGAGCTCCCCATTCCTGCTCCCCCAGACCTGGCCGGGACTCAGCAGAGGGCTGAGGGGATTTTACGGCTGCTGCTTTGAATTTGACTTTTGTTGTGACTTCCCCAGCCCCACCCAGGGTGGCTCTAACGGTTATCAGGCAGCCTGTTGCCTGAGCAACCAGGCAACAAAGAAAGTGAAGAAATGACATTTGGGGCACAGCAGCCCTGTGCTGGGCTGGGGTGGCAGTGTGAGCTCAGCGCCCCCTTGGCTCAGGGCCGGGACACAGGGGTCCTGGGGGCACATCTTGGGGAGGGAGCAGTGGCGGAGGACAGGTGCGGGGGTCGGGGGGAAGGGCGGATAGGGCTCCACCAAGACCTGGCTTCCAGGTGCTTCTGAGCTGTGTTCAGGCCCTGCCTGGCTGTGTCGCTGGGGCCAAGTCACTGACTCCCCTGAGCCTCACTTTCCTCATCTGTAAAGTGGGCAAGACCAGCCTCCACCTTATACAGTCGTTTAAGGGTTAAGTGAGTTAATATGCAAGCTATTCCAGGCTCAGTACAAGAATTAAGTAAACAATATTTTTTTAAATTATTATTTCCTTCTGGGTAAGACACTAGCAGGTCTGGGCTAGCCTAGGGGGTCCTTAGCAGGAGGAGCAGAAGGGGGTGAATTCCTCACCCCCACCCCAGGGTCCCTAAGCAGGAATCTAATTGGGGAAACAGAGGATGCCTTGCTCACCCACCCTGCTCAGGGTTCTGCTGGGAATGCAAACCAGATGTGCCTGGGAAGGGACAAACGGCAGCTCCTCTCCCGGCTTCTGTTTGGGCAACTTCCAAGGCCCCCAGAAGGAGAAGCCTGGCCTCAGCATTGGGGGTGGAGTGTCCAGCCAAGGCCAGGCCAAGGGGATGGGGTGCAAAGGAGCCCTCTCCAGGGACTGGTGACATCCACCCCTCAATTCCCACCCACCCCAGCCCGCTGTGTTCACCCGATTCTTTCTGAGCCTTCACTGGGAAGTCATTCTCAGTTTCCCCATCTGTAGAATGGACACAAACACAGCCCCTGCCTCATAGGGTGGTACTGAGCATTAAAGGCCCCATCCTTCAAGGAAAGGTCATTTTGTGGTGTCCTGCAAAGAGGAACTGGTCCTGGCTGGGGGGGAACTAGCCAAGCCCTGTGGCCAGAGAGAGGAAGAGAGTGGTCCTAACGTCATGGGAGGTGCCAGGAGTTGTATGGAGCTGGGATGTTCCATGCCTCAGTTTATCCCCACTGCGAGGGGTCTGAACGGGAGTCCTGGCCTTCCACCAGCCTGAGGGGTCCTGGGTTTGGGCACAGAGGCTCCCCACAGCTGAGCTCACCACCACTGACCCCAGAATTCCCCAGGGAGCGCCCTCCAGGAGGTGAATCGAGGTGGCTGGCTGGTGAGTCAGCCCTTCCCCTTGGCCCAGGAAGTGACTCACACCCTCCCTCCCAGCCCCTTTTGCGTCTCTCTGGATGATTGGGGTCGCATGCCTCCAAGCGCTCCCAGATTCGCCAGGATAAGGTGTCCCCCCAAGCCCTCCCCATACGCTCCTGTTGCTGAGGCACCCTCCTCCTCTCTCTTCCCTTCCCCTCCCCTTCCCAGTTTCATCCACCCCACTTTCTGATTCTTTCTGTCCCTCTCTGTCTCCCCCTCTCTCTCCATGTCATTTTGGGTTTGTCTATCTCTCCGCGTCTCGCTGTCCCATCTGCCCCGTCAGTCTTTCAGTATGTAGGTTTCCTATTTCTCTGTCCCTCTCTCTGTGTCTATCTCTTCCATCTCTCTCCGTTTGTTTTCTTCCTTCCTCTCTCCCTCCCTTCCCCCCGCCCCCCTTTATTCTCCTTCCATCTCCAGCCCCTTGTCTGTCTCTCTGGTGAACAGCAGGGAGGTCCCACCTCCAAAGCCCCTGGTGACCTGAGGAGGATTCTCCGAGGACACACTCTGAAAGTGGGGCCCCTTAGCAGCAGGAGAGGGGGCCCATTCAGTGAGAGCCCAGAGAGTGTTTCTGTTGCGGGGGAGCTCTGCGGAATGTCACCAGTGGGTCCTGCGACAGGACATCGGGGCTGAGAGATCAAGTGTATGTGTTGTGGGTGTGATCTGCATGCTCCTTCCTGTGTGTGCCTTTGAGGAAGAGAGTTTGTGGAGCAACCTATGAGGGGGATCCGAGAGAACAGCTGGTCAACCCTGAAATCACACCGGGCAGCATTCACGCAGCTGATTCTCACAGTACTCTAGGAAGTGGGCCCCATCATCATCCCCATTCTACAGAAGGGGAAACAGAGGCACAGAGAGGTGAGGAAACCTGCCCAAGGTCCAGGATTTGACCTGACTCTTGTCTGTGCTCTGAACCAACGCCCACACAGCCCACGGGGCAAGGGAGCAGGCAGCTGCAGACTCAGGCCCCTTCTCGACCTCCCACTTCCTGAAACCCACCTGGAGCCCGAGGAGGGGTCACCCACTCTCTCTCCTTGAGCAAGGACAGGGCCCCACCCTGGGGGGCCAGCAGCTCCCTTCCCTCAAACGTGTCCCCTGACACCCCTCTTCTGTTCCAGCACTCTGCCTTTTGCTGACGCTGTCGGGAGCCAGATCCCAGAGAGGTGAGGAGGGTGCACCCAGGGGTGAGTCTGCGGGAGCAGCGCAGCCACAGCCGGAGCCTGGGGAGGGGCCTGGGCCCCCACCCCGCTCCCTCAGCCCGGGAAGATGAAGCTCAGGGTTGTCCCCCACCCCCAGCACTCCCTCCAGTGGAACCACCCTGCCCACCCAGCCCCTTCTAAGCTCTCACCTTCTGACCATGGTCTCTGTCCTCACAGCTTCTTGTGCCCTGTGGTGTCCCCCAAACTCCAAGTGTGACAGTGCCACCACCTGTCGCTGTGACCCGGGATTCAGTTCATTTGGGGAGATCATCACCAGTCCCACGGAGTTCTGTGATGGTACAGAGGCTTGGGGGTGGTGGAGGGGTGCACCCAAGACTGTGGGGTAGCACCCATGCCAGAGGGGGACATGGTGGGGGTTGGGCACCTCAGCCCTTGACCTCAGGATCATCATCAAGAGCAGAGAAAAGAGAAAGGAAAAGATATCAAGTTGGAGAGAGAAGAAGTGAATAAATATGTCTTCCTGGAGACGAGCTAGACCCCAGAAGTGCCACAGCTTGTCCTTCCAGGACTGGGGAGGAGGGTGCAGAGCTTCCCATCCATCCCTCACCTTGGCACTGCCCACTGTGTCCAAATCTAGGGTGCCTATCAGAAGGCTGAGATGAGCAGAGCTGATTAAGTGGCCTTCAGGATTGGCT